AATATCATCACGATCTGGGGCAAAGACAAAGTTTAGTCTGTGTTTTTGTTTCTGTATAAATTGTTTTTATGACTGATAGAGATGTCGTTACATAACACTTTTTTCTTCGCGCTATATTGTAACTGAGGTGAATAAAAAATATCAAGAAAACAGAAAATTTAAATTTGGAGGGAAGATATTATGGTCTGCAGGGAAAACTTACGTAGCTTGTGAGTTCCTCCGTTATCACCTTGAAAGCAAAAAAAAAAAGACATTATAAAAATTTTACATAACTTCTTTAATACTGTTGCAAATAGCCAAATCAACTTTTGCTGGGTAAGGACTGAAGAAAAAGCGAGAATGTTGAATGATTTTTAAGGAGATGATACCAGACTTTGTACTCATCGTGAGGAGGGTCACTTGAAATGAACCGAACACTTTATTAAACGGCTAACTGATTGAAATGTTGACATTTACCAGGATTACTTAAATCTCAAAGAAAACACATACAAACTGCTCCAAGAGGGTAGCAAAAGGGTTTATCCGCTTTAGGCCCAAAATTTATGCGGGAGGCGTAAATTTTACAGAGGCAAGGTAACGTGAGATTTCAAGTTCTCTTTTTAGATGCTTGAAATACTGTTAACAGAGAGTCTTAGATCCACGTTTGGTGTATTCACCGCTATCGTCAAACCGTAGTCAGCAGTTTGTGGTTAGAAGCTAGAAGTCTCGAGATCTTTAGCTTCTTAGACCGACGTCCGCTTTCACTTGAAAAAAAAAATCAGCATGTGCGCCGCCAACTTGAATCACACAAAGGATGGAAGTCCTTGGTTTCAAACACAAAATGTGGATAAAAGATTAGTTTTCTTACGTCCCAAACGGATTGATTGTAAAGAAAATACTTCACTTCACATATATTTATAGGACGTACGTGAGAACTTTTGAACAAGAAGGAAAAAAGCGTCGAGGGAGTTCCACAACCTGAAACTGCCTTGTCCAAAGTTCAAACGTGGACGGCAAATAGCGAACGGGACCACTGGAGTCTGGTCACGTGACTCTTAGAAGTTTTCGGTCACACGTATTCAGAGACAAACGTGGCTCTAAAAGTCCCTGATGTTGAAATCACACGTGCCGCGCCCCCCACAAAGCGCAAAGAAGCACAAAACTTAAGTTCGATTGGTTTAAGGTGGCGCGACTTTCCTGGACTAATTGAGGAGAGTAATGAAGAAAAAAATTGATGCAGTAAAGGATTTCTTTTGAAAACCAATTGAAAATTACTCGAACATGATGCGTATAAACTAAGAATCACACTGACTTACAGGCTTTTCCTTTACCAGCTTCCACCGTCGCACAAACCACCCAAGCAGCACCAATCAGAATCAGAACAATCTTCATTGTGGATAAGCGTCTTCTTTTGCAACTGAAAAATAAAGCTTCTTGTAGAGTAAACTCTTCTGCCACGGTCAGATCTGCCGTGAGGTTTGCTTGAATATCGTCTAGTATATATTAGACTCACAAATCTAAATATTTAAAAAATGTTCCCATCCTTTTGTTCCCAAGCAACAGGTTATAAAATCAAAACCAATCACCACTCGTTCAATCTTGATTTTTACGACACTTCAGCCGCCCTTTCTAGCTTGTAGCTCTCTTGTTATGTAATTTCAAATGATGTTTTCTTCTTTTTTTTCTATTGAATCTTTTCTATTGATTGGTATTTTACAGGTTTTTATTTCTGAATGAAGAAACTTTTTATTGCCTCGTACCGTGTTTTCACTTTTTTCCTAGTTTCACATTAACTCCTTAAAACCCTTTTTATGGATATTAGTGTAATTCCCATTGTTAAGAATGAGGAATGTGTGAGCTCTTTAGCCAGGCAGCAAATCAGACGTTTAAAAAACAGACGTTTGCATAACACCATGGTACAAAACACTGTACAGTAGAAAGCGACAATGAAATAGGAACAAATAATGATAAGGATTCGTTGTGTTTTAACACGGCATTAGGAATCAGGGGAGAGCATGCCTTGCATAAGAGATTGTGGACCAATTGGTAAAAATGGCCGATCCATTTGGGAAGAGTTGTGTGGAGACTGACGGCTTAATTCTGCTCTTGGAATCACAGGATCCTTGAGTTCACAATAGCGCCAGTTTAATTTAGGTTTATTTCTGTTACGTATAGTTAGCAAAAAGAACTATTTCTCTTTTGCTAACGCTGTTTTGTTACAAAGCGTTTGGTTATTATCATGAATAAGGGGATCCCCCAAACAAAACAAGTTCGCGTTGTAAAATGTATGTAAGTGGAGCCATAATAAATAACCAGTTTTCTTTCCCCAAAGGGGTTGTAACACCACCAAGATTACCTCGTAAATTATTCAGCTAGAAACGCCTCTTTGGATATTAGCTTTTCCTCTTTAGAAATGAGGTAGCAAGGATCGCGAAAAGCCAACGAGAAACTTATGTGCTTTGTGACACGCCAAATTAAACTTTGAGACTCATTTTGATTTTTTCCCCTGATTTTCTAAACCCTCTGATAAGAAACTGAAAAAAAAAAAAATGAAAAAAATGTTGATTCTGAATCTTTTTAAAAAACGCGAAAATAAACATTGCATCTCTGTTTTATGTTGATTTTTCCTGGCACCTTTTTCCTTCCTTTTATGAAGATGGATTGCCGGAACAACTTTTATTTTCCTTTTTTATTTTTCTCACTTTCGAAACACTCTGATAACTATCGAAACAAAGAAGTTTGCGTCGAAATTCAGCGTTGCTTTCTTCAAACATTGTTGGTAATGGAGTTTTCGAATCTGATTGAGCATCTGAATTTCGCCAAATTCGCAAAATCACATTACTTGTCTGTCAAAGGCATGGGCAAAAAAACGTGATATCAAATATGTCTTACACTGGAAATTCCTTTTAAAGAATCGAATAAAAGTGGAATTTTTTTTTAAGTTATTAAACAAAGAAAAATCTCAACAAGTGTCTTTAAGTTGTAAAGAATGGTCCAGAGTTGTAGAGGGGTAGAAAAATCCCTCAGAACGTTTCGATCTATGATCAGCCCTTCCGTGGTTCTGCTTTAAATGAGAAGTACTTTATTTTAGCAAATTGACGCAAGCGTTCATTTGTCAGGCTAATTGAAGTAAACGCTACTCGAATCAATGCGAATCAGAGAGAGCAAGGGAAATTATCGTGAAAGATGTGCTAAAATGTCAAAGCAGGGAAAATCAACTCGTATTCTGAAGTAAACAAAGGCAGAATAAAGACCACAAAAGAAAGTCTGTAAAACAAACAAGAATTGTGCCTGAATATTGAATTGGGAGAGCATAGAAAACTACGGTTTGAACGGTCTTTACCACGTACCGCTGGGTCTGTACTTTCGTAAAATAATGCTCTTTCGTTAATGATCCCTAGAAATACGGGGGATTAATGTTTAGCTGTCTTCATCTGTACACTTCAAGTAGAAAGAATAACATTTCCTTTACCACCGAGGGGAAAATACCGTTTTTACCGCACTTTACCTCGAAGAAAATGAGGTATTTCTGTCAACAGCCGTGCTTAAACCATGAAGTAATACTTTCCTGAACGAAAAGGGAAACGCAAACATCTGTTTTCATAACTTCCAACCGAAATAAATCCGTCGTAGGAATAACATTATTTTCACCCCAAAAAGCTATATCGGTACTAATAAAAAAAAGAAACCTTCCCAGCACATCTCTTTCCGTGACAATAACTTTACAAACCATCAATGAGCAAAGAAAGGAAATCCCCTGGCTGTACTATGAAAATGGGAAATGCTTTTGGTTTTGATCAGTCACAGATTAGTCATCACCAGCCCCAGTCATTCTTAAATCTCAGTGAAAGGATTTTTACTTAGGGAAAGACTTCCCGAAGCTATCATTGGTTGCTTACAAGAGGTTTAAGTTTAATTTCTCGTGTATAATTTAACTGTGACTATATCAGAGAGTAAGCTTCCAGTATGCAATTTTATCAAACAAGGCCCTCTTCACCAAGTTTCCCCTTCTTTAGGTTTCAGGGGGTGGATTCATCAGCATTAGAGCACTGAAAAGGCTTTGGCTACATGCTACGAGGGTGGAACTTGAGTTGTGGTAAGACAGAAGAAAAAACGTTACGATTTTCCCATCAACATTTCACCTACACGAATTTCTCTAAACGTGAAATATTCCATTTCCACAAAAAACTCGAAAGTTACTCATATTTTTAGCTTCCTTGATCAATCTTGTATAACGAGCTATAAAATGTAGGTTCATTTGCTCAAGTGGCCGCCGAGAGCCAGAATTGCGTGAAAAGTGTAGCTAAGAGAAGCTTGTCACTGTCACAGATTTTAAGAAGCATCCAAGACAAAAATACGGCAGTGCCCAAAGGATTTTTTGATGCTTTTTAGAGATGAAATAATGGATTAGAAAGGGGAATTAAAATTAGTGTTGTAGCTGTCTGACAAGGGGATATATTTGACCTCAAAGCTATGTATATTTGGATGAATCGAAAAGTCTAAACAGTCATTTATTTGCCTCTGGTGATTAGCAAGCCGTCAATCTAATTGACTGATACTTGCGTCGTGCATCCATTTAGGATGTAACAATACGTTTACGAACCCTCAGAGTAATCGGCTAAATACCAATGCAATGAGAACTTTACACATTTTACCTATTTTAAGAAATTTCCTCGGTGAAACCAAAAAAAACTGGGGGTGGTCTTTCTCCCCCCGGAGAAAACGAAAACAGAAACCAGTTTGTCTATTGAGTTTTGGGGTGGACCCTTTAAAATGTACTTAGGACGTTCCTTGCCCGCAGAAGTCTACGAGTGAAAAAGGTTAAGAAGGTTTCTCAACACTTTTATATAAAACGTTTTTGTTCCTGTTGTAGATTTTGAAGCTCAAAAAGAATG